TTCTTCCTGACTCTAGGCACAACACTCCATCTGCCACCTAGCTGCTATAAAGTGGGTTTTTTTTCCTAAAAGAAAGAAAAAACAGTTTATTAAACACACCTGATACATGCATAGACCATTCTGACCTAGCAGTCCCCTGCCTCCCAGCAGACAGGAGGGGTTATGAATTATCTGTTCTCCAGAATCATTAATCAATATTCTCCTCACCCCCATCTTGATGTTACAGGAGAGGAAACTGAGGCCTAAAGAAGGGTACATATTCAACCTCCTCATTTTACAGAAGAAACTGAGGCCCATAGAGGGATAGAGGCACAATCCCTTTACTTTACAGAGAAGGAAACTGAGGCCCATAGAGGCATAAGATCTTAGGACCACAGAGATCTGGAACTAGAGAGGACCCCAGAAACTATCAAATCCAACCTTCTAATTATGCAAATGAGGCCAGAGACCTTAAGTGCTTTCCCCAAAGTCACACTGGTAATAAGTGGCAGGAGCAGGACTTTGAAGCCAGGGTTCCTGCCTCCACCTCCAGGACCATCCCACTCTTTGTTTGTGCCACATATTCCTCAACTGTGAGGGATTGCTGCTAAGCTCTCCTCCCAGTGAGCTTCCATACCAAAACTGGGCCGTAAACAACAGAGTTATGAAGGGCAGAGGCTAAGTAAATGCAGATGGGGTGGAGTGTTGGGGTTTATATGCAAGTGGAGGGGCAGCTTAGTGATATTCCCCAGGGTTACCTTTCTTTTCTTCTCTCTCTCTTTTTTTTTTTTTGTTAAGGTTTATGGATGCTTTTTTGGTTTCCTGGGGTCCCTTTTAGGAAATGCAGAGAAGCCAATGAGATGGGGTATGAAATCAACATTTCCAGTAGGGGAAGGGATTGAAACCAGGTGAGGATGTTGATAATTGTTGTGGCTGAACAATTCACACATCCCTACTTCCCTCCCACCCCCAATTTGTAAACATACGAGCAGAAGCCAAGTTGTGGCGATGTAGCTAACACCCCAACAACTTCCAGAAGTCAGAGGCCCAAAATGTCACATGGACCTAAGGAATGTACCAGGAAGCTGTAATACGAGGCTGACAGGGCCCCTCCCCTGTAGTGATCTCTTCTCAAGGTCAGCTAGTTCAACCAGAGACTCTCTTTTTGTGGCTTATTGTTAAAAATACATTTTGTTGTTTCCTTTTGTTTTTATATCACAGATATCTTTAGAGGTCACCCCCATCATGAGCCCTCCTTTGTAACAAAGACAAATAATTAAGCAAGGCCAACACAACAGAATAGACAAATCTGGCGGTGTATGCACCATGTCATGTCCATAGGTTCCACCCCTATCCCATCCCACACACATCTTTTTAAAGGACGGGAGGCACTTACTTGGGGCAGCTAGGTGGCACAGTGGATAGAGTGCTGGCCCTGGAGCCAGGAGTATGTAAGTGGGTTTTTTTGATGGGGAAAAGGGGAGGTACAACATGAGCTAGGCAAACAGATCTCACTCCAGCTTGTTGGCTCCGCCATTTAGAAGCAAAATTGAAGGGATTTTGTCTCCAGGCAACATCCAGATTCCATCTTCTCTTGCCTGAGTCTCTTTTCTCATTTTTTGTCCTATCCACAAACAGAGGACCCTCATGCTGACTTGACAGGTCAGGACACTTCAGTGACCTGGGCAGCTGCCTCTGCCCAGGTCTTTCCAAAACTCCTCCCTTTTTCCATTTGAAATCTGTACTCCCTTATTTTATAAGTAGATTTTGGACAGGGGTGCCAAGAGTTGATCAAATCCTTGTTAATTCAATTCTATTCAATAAGCATTTATTAAGTAACTGTTAATAGGATCAGCTAGGTGGTACAGTGGGTAAAGCACTGAGTCTGAAGTCAAGAAGACCTGAGTTTAAATCCATCCTCAGACACTTACTAACTCTGTGACCCTAGGCAAGTCACTTAACTTGTTTCCTCATCTGTAAAATGGGGATAAAAATAGTACCTATCCCCTAGGGCTGTTGTGATGACTAAATAAAATAGTAATTATAAAGCACTTAGTACAGTGCCTGACATATAGTAAGTTCTATATAAATGTTAGTTAGTAATAACAGTACCAGATCACTGTACTAGATCATGGCATATCAAAAAAAAAAAAAAAAAAACCAAAACCAACTATTCTCTCTCTTCCAGGAGTTACATTATAGAACAGAATGCAATGAATGCCAAAGGCCAGGGAAATTATATGCATTTTAATCCCAAGAGGGAAATGTAGGTCACTGAGACAGGAGAGTAAAAGATCTTTTTAAATATATATATATGTATATATATATATATATACATATACATATATGCACATATATATAGTTAAGTGTTTATAATTACATATAAGAAATTTTTAACAATCCTTTTTTAAAAAATTTGAGTTCCAAATTCTTATCCTCCTTGCACCTCTCTCCTCCTTGGGAAGGCAAGCAATTTGATATCAACTATACATGTGAAGTCATGTAAAACTTATTTCCATATTAGCCATGTTGCAAAAAAAAAAAAAAACCCACAAACAAAATAAAGAAATTTTTTAAAATATGCTTCAACCTTCACTCAGAATTCACCAGTTCTCTTTCTGGGAATGGAGAGCATTTTTTCATCATGAGTCCTTTGGAACTGTCTTGGATCATTGTCTTGATCAGGGTAGTTAAGTTTTTTACAGTTGATCGCCCTTACAGCATTGCTATTACTGTACACTGTGGTCTCTTGGTTCTGTTCACTTTACTGTGCATGAGTTCATATAAATCTTCCCCAGTTTTTCTGAAACCATCCTGCTCCTCATTTCTTATAGTACAGTAGGACTCCATCACAATCATGATACCACTGTGTGTTCAACCATTCTCTAATTGATGGACATCCCCTCAATTTCCAATTCTTTGTTGCTATGAAAAGAGTTGTTATAAATATTTGGTAGAAGTAGGTCTTTTTCCTTTTCTTTGATCTCTTTGGATTAGTAGTGATATTGCTGGGTCAAAATGTGTGCACAGTTTTAAAGCTCTTTGGGCATAGTTCCAAATTGTTCTGGCTGGACTAGTTCACAACTCCACCAACAGTGTGCATTAGTGTTCCAGTTTTTCACAACTCCTCCAGCATTTGTCATTTTCCTTTTCTGTCATGTTAAACAAGCTGATAGGTGTGAAGTGGTACCTCAGAGTTGTATTCATTTGCATTTCTCTAATCAGTAATGATCTAGAGCATTTTTTCATGTCTACTGATAGCTTTGATTTTTTCTGAAAACTGCCTGTTTATATTCTTTGACCATTTATCAACTGGGGAATGGATCTTACTTTTATAAGTTTGGCTCAGTTCCCTGTATATTTGAGAAATGAGGCCTTTATCACAGAAACTTGCTTTAAAAAAATCCCCTTCTCCTCCCTTCCCCCCATTTCCTGTTATCCTTCTAAATTTAGCTGTATTAGTTTTGTTTTGTTTGAGCCAAAGGTTTTTAATTTCATGCAAACAAAATTATCTATTTTGCTTCCCATGATCCTCTCTGTTTCTTCTTTGGTCATAAACTCTTCCCTTATCCACAGATCTGACAGGTGCATTTTTCCATGTAGTAAAAGAGAACTTTTGGGACCAAGGAGGTCTTTTGTTGTTTTCCAACTCATGCCCAGAACTGTGTCTGAGGGGCTATTTTAGGTATCCATAGGCCAAGCCCTATTCAAATTCTTTTTCTTCTGCTTTGTTCACAAAAGGAAAGCATTTAGGATAACTGACTCTAGGGAATCCAGGAATCTGTGAGATTCCAGATACATTAAAATGGAAATCATGATAACCAGAGTTGGGAGGAAAAAAAAGACAAATGAGAGACAGTGGGTGGGAGTGATAAGTATGCAAAAAAAAAAAAAAGACACAAGGGTCAAAAAAAATTTAAAAATATGCAAAAAGAACAGAAGAAAATTCAAAAGAAAACAACAATTATTTCAGACTTAGTGCTACCATGTTAAATTTAACAAACACTTTAAAGTTCACAGTTTAATATATAATACTCTTCTAGTTTTCTTTGTATATCAAAATGTTCATATTTGTTGATATTTGTTAAGTTTATAATAAAATAACACCAAAAGAAAAAGAAAAAGTAATACAGTCTTGCGCCATTTCCAAAATTAAAAATAAAAAAAAAATTAAAAATCCTTGACTTGGAATTCTGAGGGTCCAGAGCTGTACCCTCAGTTCAACTCCAATATTTTAGTTCAACTCCAATATTTTTACAGATGAGAAAACTGAGGCCCAGAGATATTAAACAGCTTATCTAAGGTCTCACAAGTAGTTAAAGAGCAAGGAGGAAATTTGAATCCATATCATCTGATTCTAGAGGATCCTGCTTGTTTTCTACTGTTCCATACAGCATGCTTCAGTTGTAAGAAAAAAACCCTTCAGGACCCAGGGGATCAGTAGAGAAAGCTTAAACTCACAGAATCATTGACACTCTAGGGTCATCTCAGCCTATATACTTTTAATGTTCACTAAACTTCTTGCAGGGGAGGAAGTGCAAAATCTCATTGCTTCTCTCTGTTTCCAAATGTTTTCTGCAAATGAAGACGATATGGGTAAATTATATAGCCTATCCGCTAACATGGACAATGCCTTTTAAGGGTACCCACTCGACGATAATTACAAAAACTGCCAACTGAAGAATTCTGGAGCCAAGTACGATCTGGCTAACCAACCCTCGCTTCTTTCCCTGCTGCTTTTTTTTTTTTTTTTTTTTTTTTTTAACACTAGCTATCTCTGCTCGTATATAAACCTGTCTGAGCTGGCTAGAGAACTCTGCTTTGATAACAAACACACTTCCATTGTAGATCTAAATCCAATTAAGTTTCCTTTTCCGCCACTAATGTTTTCATGTAGACGAATAGCCAAATAGTTTCTCCTCTAGTTCTTTTTTTTTGTTTGTTTTTAAATTTGGAAAACAACAAAAACAATGAAAAGCTGGCGACCTATATATAAGAGAAAGTTGGGATTTGTTAGTTACCAGGTTGGTTTTGCATGGGAAGCCGAGGCTGCGTTGTCCCCACTTTCTTTCTCTTCCCGTCAGGCGGTAGAGGTAAATAGATTCAGGAAAGGCTGACTCCCTCTTTTCCTCCTTCCAGCCAGGAGCAGGCTGTGGTTTGGCTACTACTTTTTCCTATGATGAGATCACAGCACGCCACTGGGAAGAATTAGTGGTGCGTAAGAAATACACCTTTAACCAGCAGAGGCAGCAGGGGTAAAAAGTCTGAACACAGACTTCTGTCCAGCTTTCTTGCTTTACAAATGTGCTCCCCAGAGCAAGGGTCCACAGGATAAAGACATTTGTCTGGTATTCCTAGAGAGTACCTTTTTTTCTCTTCTGACCTAGGATCACATAATGTTAGAGCTGCAAGAGACCTTAGAATATAATCTTTTAAACCAATTGCCTCATTCTGTAGATAAGAAAGCATGACATAGGGTATAGAGCAGCAAGGTGGAATAGCTTTGGAATCAAGAAAATCTGGGTTCAAAGTCTTGACTTTGCTTACACGCTGACCGTGTGATCCTGGACAATTTTGTTTAACTCTTCAGTGCTTAGCTCTCTTAAGACTATCTCTAGGGGCAGCTCGGTAACGCAGTGGATAGAACACCAGCCCTGAAATCAGGAGGACCTGAGTTCAAATCCGGTCTCAGACCAAACACTTGACACTTACTGGCTGTGTGACCCTGGGCAAGTCACTTAACCCCAACTACTTAAGCAAAAAAAAAAAAAAAAAAAAAAAAGACTATCTCTGGCAGAGCAGGCCCTGAAGTGAATTTCTTGTGAGTTTCTTCACTCCTCACTTCACGTTAGTTTGTTCCCTATACCAAGAAGTTATGAGAAATTTAAAACAGCTTGCATACATAAAGAAAAAGAAAGGATTCCTTCCAGCTAGAAGCTTAATTACCTAAAAACTCATTCTAGGAATGCCTCCCACCCACCTAGCTAAGAATACTCTGGATTGGGAGATGATCTAAGTTAAAAAAAATCACTGATCACTTTTATTCCTCAACTCAGTAGTTTATGCTCAACAGTTTACAAATGGGGCAGCTAGGGTCACAGTAGATATAGTGCTGGGGCTAAAATCAGAAAGATCCATCTTTCTTGAGTTCAAATTTGACCTCAGACGCATTAGCTTTGTGACTCTGGGCAACTCACTTAACCCGGTTTACTTCAGTTTCCTCATCTGTAAAACGGCAAACCACTCCAGTATCTTTGCCAAGAAAACCCCAAATGGGAACACAAAGATTTGGACACAACTGAAAGGATTCAACAACAACAATGATGACAGCAACAATGATGATGATGTTGATGACAAGAAATTTATAAAAGGGTTGGCCAAACCTTTAGCCAACATCTAACTGAAACAATCAGAAGAGATCTAACTTGTTAGACTGGGTAGGGAAGAATGTAAATAACTGGTTTTCTAGTCATTGACTAAAATGTTTCACAACACACCCCAATCTATTTAGCTAACTAAGGGCCAGTAGTTAAGTGGGGTGAGCCAGATCCAGAGGGCTGGGTGTGTCTGAGAGTGTACTTTTAGGTAACTAGCATTGCCCAATAACAGCTGAATTTGACCACACAAAGGAACTACACTAAAGTAGACTTCTTAATAAAGTAGCAGGGTAATTGGTACTGATCCATGCTTTCTTTGCTGTAGACAATGTCCTGATGAGCCTCTCAGAAATGAGCTTAGCCTCATCTCACAATCTGCACTTAAGTCTCCGTCAATCCCTTTCCAGCTAGTTGTCTTATCTGTAAAATGATAAGGGTGAACTAAATGATCTATGTAGTTTATTTCAGTTCTAGAATCATGATCGAGATCTAGAATCTATGATCAATTCATACTTTAAAGGTACATTTTTTCAAAAGTGTGTGTTTGTGTATGTATGTATGTACATGTGTATGTTTATCCAAAGTTTATACATATTACAGATGTTTATCTCTAGTCTGTCTACATATCTCTTCTATCTATTTATATCTATGTAGATACTGGAGTGTTCAGGGAGGACTAGCGCCTCTAGTGTGAGGGCTTGCTGAGCTCTTTTCAGGGCTGCTTATCCAACTTTGGTGTCCACTTTTCTTTCACCCAACCTATATCTTCAAGAAGTGTAGCATGCAGTGTCTCCATCCCAGTAAAACTATCTTGTCAGACTGGATAGATCAGGTTGAATGTAACTGATAAGCTTCAAACCTATCAGTGAGTTAAGGGATTGTCTACCTCAACCATGTGAAGACTTCCCCAATGGAATGGGCAGATGAGAACAATTTGTTCCAACATCTGTGAAGGCAGAGGAAGCAGGTGCTTAGAGTGCTTAGAGCTTGATTAGGCATCAAAGGTGCCAAGGTCATCCATTGCATCCTGGGCCATTGCCAGTTATCTCAACTTTTATCTTGCCGCTGGACTCTGATGACTCTGGAAGGGAGAGTGAGGCTGATGACTTTGTGCAACTCTGCCTTACTTAAGTCTAATTCACACACAAGTGAAGACATTACCCTGTGATATCACTGGTTGTCTTAGAAAGTGAAAGGTGAACAAAATATTGGCTCCTCACCATAGCCTTTGAGAACCCAGCTAGCATCCACACCTTGAGGAAATATCAGAGAAAGACTCCAGGGGATCATTAAAATGACTCAAACAATTTGTGCCATGATCTAGCTGAATAGATACCAAATGTATACCAAAAAGTCACTAAACTTAAAGTGGTGGCTTTAGGGCAATCATATTCTTATGTCAGGGAGAGGATGGATTTTTCTCTGACCTTCCTGGCTTCCTTAAGTCTCAACTAAAATCTCACCTTCTACAGGAAGTCTTCCCCAACCCCTCTTAATTTCAATGCCTTCCCTCTGTTAATTATTTTCTATTTATCCTGTTGTTGAGATAAAAATCAATGATAAAGGGAAACTGAGGCACAGAGTTCTAAGCATTATTAATTTATTAGCAAGGCTAGCAATTGCCAATGAAAGCGAGGCAAGGCTACAAGGCACCACAGACAACCTGAGGGGTTTACAGAGAGCATTTTTATAGTCCATAAAGAGGAATCAAAAGTTATAGAATCTTGAATTACATGAATCAATTAATTTCTGATCAGCTAGAGGTTAGCTAAGATCGGAACGAGGAATTTAGGTGATTTGCAATATCCAGCTGCTGGCCGTGACAATTACGAAAGTGTAAACACTCCTTCTATGTGATTGGTTATAGCATTACAAAAGTAATGTAATAAGTGGGATAATTGACATCATAGAGTTGTCAATCATATAAGAGCACTGGATAAAACAGTCGAAAAGGGAACTTAGTTTATTAGCTTATTTCTGCAGGAGCTCAGCTCTGTACAAATAGAGATGGTAGCTAGAGCCAGTGCCCTGCTATATCCTATTATAATTTATAACAGTGAACCTACAAAATCAATTGATTAAAAGAAGTGAGTAATTGATTATAATTTCACACTGTATATAGTTTGCTTTGTATATATTAGTTTGTGTGTTAGCTCCCCCATTAGATTGTAAGCTCCTTGAAGCCAGGGACTGACATTTGCCTCTTTTTGTATCTCCAGCACTTATCAGAGTGCAAGGAACATAGTAGGCATTTAATAAATGTTTATTGGTTGATTGAGTGATTCTCAGCAGCTCCTCACTGCTTACTGAACACCAATGGAGATGAAGGATGCATGTCAAAATTTTTCATTGGAGGATGTTGGGAGAAGGGGATCTTAGACATCTTTTTTCTTTTCTTTCTAAAGTTATCTTCTGTGACCTTGAAGATAAAGATTTAGCTTAGTCCCTTTCTGAAATTGATTGAAGCACTCAGAAGAAGGGACATTGAGCAGAAAGTCAGGAAGTCCTGGGTTCCAGTCCCATTGTAGATAATCACTGGCTGTGATCCTGGGCAAATTACTTAACTTCTCAGGAAAACTCTAAGAAGAAGATTCTTGCCCTGCGGTCTGTGGATAGATTTCAGAACTAAGATGGGGGGAAAAATCCTTATTTTCTAATTTAAATTTGGCATTTCCTTCAGTTACAGTTATAGGCAACAAATATTCTGAGGAATCTATAGGCTTTACCAGACTGCCAAAAGGTCCACAACCCCTAAAAGGTTAAGAATCCCTGCTTTAAGACTATAATTTGCAGGAAAGGTGCAAAATTTTTTTTTTAAAGAAAAATCATTGCATCTTTTTTGCTCATCTTGTCTTGTATCTGAAAGTATTTGGAAGAGGAATTCTTTTGTACTGATGGGAAGTACTTTTTCACTGGGTCATATTTTGAAAGTGTCTTAATTTCATTCACAAGGAGATGTACAATGAAGAAGGGAAGAAATGCACAACAGAGAAGGAACTTACTTAAAGGTGTACCTTAGTGATTTTGTTATGACAAATAGATAATACAAATAATAGTCCACATTTCCTTGTGTTTCTTTATAGTCTATTTATCTTTGGCTTTGGAAAACCTTATGAGCTTTAATCTCTCCCTTCAAAATGTTGTTAAAATCAGTTGTGAATGACAGCTATTCTCAGCAATACAATGATCCAAGATAACTCTGAAGGACTTATGATGAAAAATGCTATCCATCCCCAGAGAAAGAACTGATGGTGCCTGAATACAGATTGAAGCGTACTTTAAAAAAAAACAACAAAACCAACTTTATTTTTCTTGAGTTTTTTTTTTGTCTTTACATGTAATTGGGAACAGTAAGATAGTATTTAAAAAGAAGAAAAAATGTTGCTAGAGAGCAGGCTTCATAGTCAGGAAGTCCTTGGCTCAAGTCCTTACTCTAACACATACCAAGTGAGGGATCCTGATGAGAGCTACTTATTTAGTTATATATAGAATACACATAGATATTTGCAAAACATATAGAAAGGAGACATCAGATAACCTTGGAAAGGAAGGTACAGCATCCAAGGATTCTTTCACCCTTCGATCTGTGAACCTAGGTATTTACAGCAGTCTAATCCCCTATTATCAGTTCTGGGATCCCCTATTTTTCTTTTCTTCTTCTTTCCTTTCCCTCCTTCACGTGCCCTCTCACTGTAAACCACTCACAATTTACATAGGAGTGCCTACGGGCTGACTTGCTCCTCTTTTCCAACTGTGTTTGAGGAATTTTAGGGCAGC